CAAGCCTGCCTCAGCCTCCCAAAATGCTGGGATTATAGGCATGAGCCACTGCACCCTGCCTACGCTGTCTTAATTACTGTAGCTTTGTAATAAATCTTGAAGTCAAGTGGAGTCAAATACTTTAACTTGAAATCCTCCTTTAATAAGCTATAAGGCTTCAGACATCTAGCCTACATCCCAAATCAGAGATACCATAAAATACCTATGAGTGTGAGTTATCCGTCATTTATTCTCATATTGAGCTGGGAGCACTATGACTGGCATGCAGTGACTTGCTATGAATTTATTAAGTATGAGCACACGCTTCTGAACATCTCCCACTCCACAGTAATTTCCAAACTTGTTTCAAGAAAAACCTTTCTGGTGTGGTGTTCTGGATTTAGAAAATAAAGAGAAAAATGAGATTTTAAAAAGAAGAGGAGAGAAAAAAAAGAGGAGAATGGAGATGAGCTTATAGTTTACAGCCTTTACTTCCTAGGCATAGGTGGGGATTGTTCACTCTGGAGTCACTCTCTCCTTGCTCTGACAAGGGAGTTAGGGCAAGTTCCTTAAACCCTGCAAGCTTCACTTTCCTCATCTGTAAAATGGGGATAATATTAAGCACTTAAGAAATGTCCTTGTGACTCCCAGGAGTAAAGAACCAAAGGAATTCTGAGGACTTCCTCTATAGCTCGATGAGTCCAGATGGTGCTCAGCTGGAGGAGAGACAGACGGGAATACACACACCTGAAGCGCAGGTGAGCTCTCAGATCTGATAGAGCGAGTCATCGTGAAGTACTCGTATATTTTCGCCCGTGACTTAATGCGAACTTTCTCTAAGGATGTCCCTGTGAGCAAGATTATCTGTCCTGGGCAAAGGGCTCTGGCACTGTTTTTCCTCAGGGACCCTTTTTTCAAAGATTCCCAGAGAAAGAGGGGAGAAGAAGAGAGGAAAATTAGTCAGGGTAAGGGTATTTTCCCAAGCCATCAGAGCATGTGAGTCTCTTCAGGCAGACCCCGATCTCCCCGCCCCGGGGTAGTGTGCCCTTCCTCACCCTGCCCTGGCACCCGGTGCCACCTCCATCCCCTCCCCATCTTCATTCACTGTGTTGGCCCAGGCTGCCTCACACCATGCTTGGTTTATATTCTAATTATTTTCTCCCACTGCAAACTTTAGCCAGCCCTGTAGACATGATACTGGGTGATTGTGGAGGACTCAGAAAGGCATTTATTTATTTTCTTATTCCTATGAGCTATATTAGTTGGGAGTTCTCCTTCTGGAGCTAGTGAGGTCTGGTTTGTCCTCTATGATGGTCTCTGGGGCGGCGGCAGCAGCCCAGGCTCTCCTGCAGGAGGGAGCAGCTCACTGAGCCTCCCCCGGCTCCTCAGTGGAAGGGCTGTCCTGGGTTAGGGATGCTTGCCTCCTTCTGAGTCACTTCACATCCCCCTCACTGCTCTGCAAAGGCACTTGTGCCAGATGAGAAGTCTCCTTCTGGGCAGATTCATATGATTGAGGGGAGGCTGGGGGGCTGTGGGAGCTGGAAGCAAAGCCTCCCACATGATGAGTTCTCATCTGCAGCCGTGCTCTGTTTGGGCCCTTCCTTTCGGAAGGCTACTTGCACTACACCCAGTGGGTTTGTTTCTCTGTTTTCATGCCTATATAGTTTCTGCCCTTTGTAGCATTCTCACTGTGCCCCCGACGTGGACCTGACTAGTTGGAAGACACCAAGCACATGGTGGGGAAGATGTCATTTCTCTTTCAGATCTGATGTTTAAGAAATGTACGCTGAGTCTAAAGATTATTACTGGGGACAGACCCAACCAATTCCATGGGGGAGTTGGCTAGCAGAAGCCTGGAGAAGATTCCCTGAGGCTGATGGAGATCTGATCAGCCTGGGAGGGTTCTGTTCTCAGGGTTTTATCTTCAGCTTTTATCTGGCCAGTGAGATCTGAAGCCTCTTTTGTAGCTCCAGAGGGCAGAGGGCAGACCAGTCCCGCTCTGAGACTCTGTCAATCAAATGGATGGGATAAAGAATCACTCATCACTCCAGTCAAGTTTGCAAGTCTAAATTTCTAGCATACCTGAAGCTGTTCTGCTTCTGAATGGTGAACCGAGACCATGTGTCCTAAGCCAGTTGCCTGCCATTCTGCGGTCCTTCCGTTTGTTTCCACTTTTTACTCTGGAGCCGTCTTCTGTGAAAGTGAGTACTCAAGCAACTGACCATTCCCTCCATCCCTGCAGCCCAGCCCCCTGCCCCCTGACTTTTCATCTTTCTAACACGGAGGGGAGTGCTGGGTTTTTGTGAGGCATTTAATGGTCATCCCCCCAGAATATAGGCTTAGCATAGTGGATATGGAAGAGTTCTTTCCAGATAAGGAACATATCTTAGGATGTGACTTGAATTCTTTAGACTTCCCTGGGTTTAGTGCTGAGTGAAGACCCCATGGCACTTTGGGGCTTTAGGGATAAGCACTGATGGAAGAAAGGAATTCTGCCACTTACTGGTCTGCCAAAGGATTATGGTCTGCTTAGGGATTCTTCCACTGTATACTACTTAGAGGCTCTACTACTTAGGGACCTACCACTGTGCCTACTGCCACTTTTATGGGTCCACTGCGTGGCTGTGGGTAAATATGTTTCCTTCTTCCCTGCTCCCATAAGGCCCTTCACCAGGCCCTCTTCATTATGGTTCTCTGTTGTTTAATGGGAGAAAGAGGGATGTTGTTTCTCTAGCGAACTTTGGAAGGTTTGACTTGGAGGTGGTTGCTAGAACTTCCGCCGGAAGTTGGAGCTCCAGACCCTCCTCTTTCCCAGGTTCGGTTGCTTTGTTACCCACTGTTAATACACCTCCTTCCCCGCAACTCTGCCCACCTCTCAAGAGGAGAATGATTACTCACAAAGACAAACCAAGCACAGAAATAGCCAACCTATTTGTGGCTTAAATGCAAGCAGTTTTATTTTTACTGTGAGTTGCTGTATTTTCTCTAAGGATAAATCATTTACCACAAATGCGACTCCCTCTCCATCTGCGATAGTTCCTGCTTTGTTAGTGGTGCCAATGAGTCACAAAACAACTGGGGCCTTCCGCCACCCACTCAAGTGGGGGGCAAAGAGAGCCATCTCTTTCAGCCTCCCCCAGCCAGCCACCAGCCCCTTTGGAGACTTTCTCCCTACCTAGAAGCCATTGAGCCACCCCAGCTTCATGGTGGCTTGCTCTTCATTCACCTTGTGACCATTATGAACTTCCACATTGGGCAGCTTGTTGTCCTCTGCCTGTGTGGACAGATTTCTGTTCTGTTAGGCGCTGGAAAAAGCAACTTGGTGAGGCCCTCAGTTTTGTTGACTTACATAATGACGTTGGCGTCCTCCTTCTAGTTGGTCACGGTGCAGGGTTTCACAGCACCCGTAAGGACAGGGTGAAATGTTCGTAGCATCTGGACAGCCCCTGCTCTGAGAAGCAGTGAATGTGGAGCAGAGAGGATTGCTCTGTCCCATCCCATCTCCTTCATCCCGCATTTCCTTCAGGGTCTCTTCCTCCCCTGCTGGGATTGGAACCTTCCTGGGCAGCCTGTTCTTTCTCTCCTAATTGTGTTTTCTGCTGTGGGTCTGATCCTTTCCTGCCAGGTGCTCTTTCTTTTCTGCCTTGCAGTTTGCTTTAGCTGGTGCCTGTTTCCTTTTAGTTTCTGACCATCCTCTGGGAAACTAAAGTTCTCCAGGAGGCTGACCTTCTCCTTCCTTGGAACATCAGAACCAGGTAATGAGAACACCTTTCCAACTTCAGGACTTGCTGGTCTATTGATTTGCTGAAATCAATAGACCAGCAAATCACCTGTTCTATTGATTTGGTGCTCAGCACTGCCTACCCAGTAGATGCCTGCTGGCTCCAGGAGAAGCTTTCTCCTCTCCCCTTTCTTCTTCCCTCTGGGAGGACTCGAGCTGCTGGTCAGGCTTCCCACAAGTGTAGTTTGGCTCTGCCCTGGGACTATGGTCTTACTGCTTACGAAAACAGTCAGAGGGAAACTTCATCTGTGGGTGCCTATGGCTGCGTTCCCACAGAGTCTGAAATTGCCTTCTCACCCGTTTTGATATAATCAGTCCCCAGGGTTCCTTAATAATTTGGCACTGTATCTATGAAGGAATCCCTTTACATAAGAAAAATGCTACCATGAGTGAGGGGTGGGTCTTCAGGCTTGGGATCTCAGGGTTGGCTACCTGAGATCCAAGAGATCCAGAATTCTCCCGCTCAGCCTTTGGTGCTTCACATTGGGTTCTTTGAAAAATGGGTAACATATTGACCATTTTTGGTTTAAAAAAAAAGAGAAAAAAAACCAAACCAAATAAACAACAAAAAAGGAAAAGTGCAGAACAGGGATCGGGGAAAAGGAATTTGCTCTTATGTTCCTGACTGCATGGGTGAGAGTCTGCATCTAACAGAAACAGCTGCTCCCAGGAGGAGTCCCCAGACCAGGCTGGGAAGCAGTGTGGGCGTGGCCAATGGTGCAGACCCCTGCCTCCACCCCTGGAACCCGCTCCTTGGCTTGCTTGCTTTTCGCTGCATCCTATGGGTCTTATATACTACATTGAGCATGATTGTCTCTGAAACTGGGTTGTAGGAAGGGAACAAATTCTTAACTGTCTAGCCACATATCTCCCACGTGTCTCTCTGGGTCTGTACATAGTCTTATCCCATCATTACAACATGTCAAGGTAACATTATTTGCTCCATTTTACAGATAAGAAAACCAAGTCTTAGAGAGCTTGGCAGAGGTCACATGAGTAATTAGAAGCTGAGCTGAGAGTTTGAGCTGGTTCTGTCTTTCCACCACACATGTGGTTTTGCCCTTCCATGTGGCATTTCTGCAGGTCATCTTTCTCTTTAGCCCTGGCTGGCCTTTGTGTTTCGAGGTGGTCCACTGCCTCGCATTGTCATCAGTTCACATCCTGCTCTCGATTGGCGTGAAGAATTTCACTCGAGTGTGTCACCGAATGATGCCATTGGAAGCTTCTGCTGATAAGCGTGGGACCATCTGCTTGGCACTTCTCAAATATTTTCAGCAGTGGGAGAGCAGCTTTGGTTCCTTCCGAGATGAGAGGCTGCAGCCATCCTTCGAGATGTTGGGACTGGAGACCCTGCAGGCTGGCTGGGCATTGATGCCCCAGATGCAAAGGGAAAGCCAGCCTGTGGCCACTTCTGACCCTTCCTGAGCAAATGACACCAGCGAGTCTGCGTTCCCGTTTTTCATTGTTCAGCTGTCCTTGACAACCAGAGTAAGATTTCCCCTCTTTAAAAAGCTATTTCCTGGGTAACTCTTTTCTGTGCTGGTTTTCTTTTTTCTTTTTTGTTTGTTTGGTGGGTTAGATGTTTGCTTTTGGAATGTGTTGGCAAAATTTCTGTCTCCTCCTCCCTTTGTTTCAGAAAATTTACTTCTTTGCTGAGTTAACTGTTCCTAGACATTGTTGTTCAACTTCAGGGTTGAAACTTCTGAGCAGTGTTTTCTTTTTTAAGTCATTGCAGGGGAAAGAATCTTAGGATCAATTCATGGTTTGAATGGTGGACTTGGAGGTTTTCAAGGTGGCTTAATGAAAACTTATGAATTATAAAGAAGTTGAGCTTTGAAAGAGTTGTTACTGAATTTGATTCCTCTGGAGAAATCACTTGGCTCACAGCTGTTGGGCATCACTGGGGCAAGCTGCATTGATTTTTCTTCGTTTTTGCTTAGTGGGCACTGGCATCAGTATTAGCTTCTGTTGCTTATGAAGGTCATGTGCACCACTTTGGTGATAAGGTATCTATTAAAAGGAATCTCCTACTCAGTCTTGATCTTTGGTATGAGAATTTTAGCAACACTTCCCCCTCAGGATACTTAGAGGGAATTTGATGAGAGAATGTATAGGGTGTTGTTAGGTTGCTGTGGGTGCAGCAATAAAAAGGTGATCACAAGCTGGCCTCTGGCAGAGTGCTATGGACTGGGCACCATTGGCTTTGTGGGCTGGGTAATTCTTTGCCGTGTGGGCTGTCCTGTGTATTGTAGGATGTTTAGCAGCGTCTCTGGCCCCTACCTGCTAGATACCAGTAGCACACTCCTCTCCACTGTGACAACCAAAAATATCTCCAGCCATGCAAAACATCCCTTAGGGGACAAAATCACCTTCCCCCTTGTAGACCAGGGCTCTAAATTGATCCTGCAGTATGTTTAGAAAGGGAGTAAGAAGTCTCTGTCTCTCCATGCAGATGGCCCTAGCGTTGGGAAGATGGGAATGATGCATTTAATGCCAGGACAGATGTTCCTGCCCTGTGCATTCCCCTCAGAGCCCTTGCCTGCCATGGAAATTCCATCTCACAAATGGGTTTCTGTTTGTCTGGGTGACTGCACACACACACACACACACAGGGGAGAATTTGCCCTTTTCTCTGGATCTGCACACCTAGAAAGTCCAGCCTAGGGTCAAGCTCTCTTTTAAGTTGCCTGGGAACAACAGGCAGTTTCAGATGGCCCACTCCTCAAACCTGAGTTTTGTTGGCTTTTCTCTCTTTCCTTTTTTCTCCCTGCCTTCCTCCGCAGCCCCCTCTTTCTTTCTTCTAAGAGTGATGTGCTAGGCTGGGAATCTGGGGCCATGGGAGGACTGCACTCAACTGAATGGGAATGTGGAAGGGGTTGTTTGCTTCTGAGGTCTCTAGAGAACACTTGAGCAAGCATAAATGTATGGCATTTAGAACTCTGCCGACTCTGATCTTCCTTGTTTTTTCTGTCAGTTCCCCCATCCATCTGTTCCTCTCACTTTCATTGAGAGGTAAATGCAGCCAGCAATCTCAGGTAGACCTGCCAGGACACGGGCTCTGCAAAGCCCACATCCTTGCACGTCTATGGAAACCACCATGCTTGTTTTCCCTGCTTATTGATTCATTCTCTCAGTTTGGCATTTCCATGAGACTCATGGTGGCACTAGCATTTTGTACACCCCAGCCTTTCACAAATACATTAAAATGCCAGTTATGTGAAGCAGCTGAGGCCCAGTGGAGCTAAGCTGTTTGTTGTAGGACTTGCCTGTAGCGGTCAGTTGGACTGAAAGTGCAGCTCCCAGGCCAAGCAGCCGTAGGCACCAGCAGAATAGACAGTGGCCTCTGCGTTGTTCTTTGATCAGTGTCAACCCTCTCTTCTCGAAAGTCTCTTCTGCATTCAGATGCAATACTGCCTACAATTCTTTGAGTTTTGCAGGTGGGTGGTGGGGATTAAGTCCTACTTTCTACCATGGTCAGCCTGGATTGTGGTGGCTTGTGTGAGGTGCTGGAGCCTGAACAGGCAAGGATCATCCCCATGGGGGCAGCCACGCCAGGGTGAGGGCAGTGGCAGTGGTGGCATGGAAGGGGATGTCAGTGCTGGGCAGGGCAGGAGGATATCTGCATGGCTTATACAGGGAACTGGTGCTGGATGCTGGAGCTCCTGCTGGGTGAAGTCTGTGTCTCAGGGTCGGGGGCAGGGGCAGCATGAGCCCAACAGGAAGTAAAAGGACTTTACAAATTGAGGCGGCCATCTGTGCAGAGGCACGGGAAGAGCAGTGGCAGACATAGGCAACTGTTCATAGATGGGTTGTTCAAATGAGTAAATGCATAGACGACCATGGAAGCCAGGTTACTCAGAGAAGGGAGATACAAATATGGAGAGGGAGAAAACGCGAATGAATTCATTGGTAGTGGGTCAAAACTTGAGATGTTGGTGTCAATTCATGATTATATGTATATATTTTATAAATATATAAAAAGATATAGGAATACAGCTGTAGGTGTGTGCATGTACAACTATACATAAATGTATCTATATGCATATATTCCTTGGCCCTTTCTTTGAGAGGGCCTGGGAGCAGTGACAGCCTCCTAGCAATGAGCACATTTTGCACCCAGATCTTGGCTTCTAAATATAATTATTTACTAAAAGGAACCAAGGATCCTTGGAGAAATGGCTGATTCTAGGCACTGGTGCAGGGGACATACAAGATTATGGTAAAATGTCCAGTTTTTTTTGTCTTGGAAGGCCAGGCATATTGGAAGAAGTGTGGATCATCAGGGAAGGTTGGATTTCTGTTTTGGCTCGCTGAGGCTGCTGTGTCACCATGAGAGGCCCAGTTGGAGATACCCGGGGCCATTTGGTTATATGGCTCTGATATGCTGGGGAGATGTGTGAGCTAAAGCTCTGCATTTGGATTTCATCAGCAAGTGGTGATGTTTTGAAATGGCAGGATTGGACAAGACCACCCAAGGAGAGTCTGTGGAGTAGGAAGGGAAGAAAGTCGACAATGGAGTCTGCAGCCTGGCCAACATGGCAGAACCTCATCTCTACTAAAAATACAAAAAGTTAGCTGGGCATGGTGGTTGGCACCTGTAGACCCAGCTACTCGGGAGGCTGAAGCAGGAGAATTGCTTGAACCCGGAAGGCGGAGACTGCAGTGAGCAGAAATAGCACCACTGCACTCCAGCCTGGGCAACAGAGTGAGACCCTGTCTCAAAAAAAAAAAAAAAAGAATAGATCCTGGTGGAACGCTGAGGCACAGGGGCAGTATAAGAAGAGATCCAGCAAGGGAGACAGAAGAACTGCAGGAAGGCAGGAGGAGAACCAGAGGGAAGAAACTGTGTGAGGCTCTAGCATCATCTCAGAGACAGCAGCAGGGAGACAGGGAGTGGGGTTCCATAGCAACACTCGTGTGCTCAGGAGGGGCTCGAGCCTGAGATCGTATCTCAGCCCCTTCTGGAGGACTTGGCTGAGAGCGCTGCACTGTTGAATGGACCGGCTGACTTCTCTTCTTTGTTCTGATAAAAGGACATGCCTGAATTTCCCCCTCTGACGTCAACGATCTTTACCCATAATGGCAAAGTGTGGTGTTCTTCAATAAACAATTGAAGTGTTTATTGATCATGGTGATGGCCATGAGCCACTGTTTCACAGAAGAAAGTGAAAAGAGACAATATTTCTGAAAACAACTCATTCCTGTGTGTTTGTGTTGTTTTGGTTATGGGTTTGGTATTGGGTAGATGGTGCTTTAATAAAAAAACATCCATTATTTGATAAATAGGATCCATCCTTTGATAAATAAAAAGAATCCATCTTTTCAGGTTTTCAAAAAATATCATTACTGACAATGCAGTTGATTGTGTGGTTGCTTCTGGTGACATAAAAGCCATTAATAAATGTTCCCAAAGTCCTAACAGCCTCAGGAATGGGTGTGTGAACTTCACACATAGATAAACTGTTGACAATGAGCTGGTGTGTGTGTATGTTGGGTGGGGCAGGGAAGGGCTAGATATAGTGCCAACTTGGACCTGGGCAATCCAGGCTCTGCTGCTGCCTTTGTTACTAAGCATGTAACCTTGGACTAGTCCTGAGTTAATTTGCTCACCTAGAAAAACAAGGGGGTGGTTTGCAGTATCTGCATGATTTTTTCAAGCTCTAAATTGTAATGATTAGCAGAGGATGGTCGGACTTTATCAACAAGGAAGTGTTTTTAAGAAAACTCCAAGCAGCATCCTTTCATGTTTTTAATAAAATACTCCAGTTTCTGGGGAAAAATAATTTGTAACATATATGACCAAGTGTCATGTTTACAATTATTTCTTGCAATTCAATGAAAGAAATGAACAAAGAGTATAAAAAAAATCCATTGAAAAATACAAGTAACTGTTAACATAAAAGAATGTCCAACCTTATTAACAATCAAATAAATACAAATTAAAACAGGGTATCTTTTATCACCTATCACATTTGGGAATTTAAGAAACTGAAGGTGTGTAAAAAAAGAAGCATATATATGCTGTGAAAAAAATTATATACTGTTGATGTTAGTATTAATATAATTGACATGGTTATTTTGGATGACAATTTGTTAATACACATTTAAGTCTTGAAGAATGTTTATACCCTTTGGTCTAGCAATTCAACTTTTAGAAATACGTCCTGGGGGAATAACTGCAGATGTGCACAAAATTTGCATCCATACAAATTCACTACTGTGCTTTGTTTTTAAAATAGAGGTGAAAAATCAGAAGCAAATGATACCTCCAAGGCTGGGGGATGATTAAAAATAAATAAGGAAAGCTAGGCACAGTGGCTCATGCCTGTAATCCCAGCACTGTGGGAAGCCAAGGCAGGAGGATCACTTGAGTCCAAGAGTTTGAGACCATCTTGGGCAACATGACAAAACCCCATCTCTACACAAAATGCAAAAACGTAGCTGACATGGTGGCACGTGCCTCCAGTCCCAGCTACCTGGGAGGCTCACTTAAGCCCAGGAGATTGAGGCTGCAGTGAGCTGTGATCTCGCTGCTGTACTAGAGCCTGGGTGACAGGGTGAGACCCTGTCTCAAAAATATCAATCAATCAATCATGATACCTCCAGTTAGTGATACTAAAGTTATACTTTGAGTATATACTGACATGAGAAAATGTTTACAATATGCTATTGCGTGAAAAAAGGTAGAAAGTAAGGATACCAAAAGATTATAAAATGCCATCTCAATTTTAAAAACTAGTGGTGTAAGACATTGAAAAAAGACTGATGGAATATCCCCGATGTTGAATGGGGTTAATTTTTAGTAGTAGTTGTATGTGTGGATTTTCCGAATTTTCTTCAATGAACACATACTGTTTTAAAGTTAGAAGAAAGGCAGTAACATGTAAAAGAAAATACCCCCATTTTGTGTTAAGACTAAACAGGCTATAAAAGAGCCCTGCTGTGACTGTAACTGCCCAACGGGTTCTCTATGCCCGCTGCCCAGACAGAGCCAATTTATCAAGACAGGGGAATTGCAATGGGGAAAGAGTTTAATTCATGCAGAGCCAGCTAAACCACAGACCAGAGTTTTAGGACTCAAATCAGTCTTCCTGAAAATTCAGAGAATGGGGTTTTATAAGGATAATGTGGGGTGTAGGGGTCCAGGGAGTGGCGAGTGCTGACTGTTCAGGTCAGAGGATGAAGTCACAGGAAGTTGAAGCAGGTTGTTTTTGCTGTCTTCTGTTTCTGGGTGGGATCACAGAACTGCTTGAGCTAGATTACCTGTCTGGGTGGCACCAACTGGTGCATCAGAATGCCCCAGGGTCTGAAAAATATCTTGAGCACCAATATTAGATTTTACAATAGTAATGTTATCCTTAGGAGCAATTGGGGAGGTACAGAATCTTGTGGCCTCTAGCTGCATGACTCCTAAACAATAATTTTGAACCTTGTGCCTAGCTTGTTAGTCTCATAAAAGCATTCTGGTCCCCAGAAGAAGTGGGTTTGTTTTGGGTAAGGGCTGTTATTGTCTTTGTTTCAAAGTTAAACTATAAACTAAGTTCCTCCCCAAGTTAGTTCAGCCTATGCCCAGGAATGAACAAGGGCAGCTTAGAGTTTAGAAGCAAGATGGGATCAGTTAGGTGAGATTTCTCACGGTCATAATTTTCTTACTGTTATAATTTTTGCAACGGTGGTTTCAGGGTAATCATTTTTTTAGTGGCAGAGCTCTTTGAACAGGCAGGAGTCCTTTGATCAGTCCCTGTGGACTACTTCACATGCAGAGAGCACACAGTGACAAAGTCACAATGAGAAATTAAACAAGTCTTTTTTTTTTCTTTTCTTTTTTGAGACGGAGCCTCACTCTGTTGCCCAGGCCAGAGTGCAGTGGTGCGATCTCGGCTCACTGCGTCCTCCTCCTCCCGGAGCAATTCTCCTGCCTCAGCCTCCGAGTACCTGGGATTACAGGCGTGTGCCACCACACCCGGCTAATTTTTGTATTTTTAGTAGAGATGGGGTTTCACCATGTTGGCCAGGCTGGTCATGAACTCCTGACCTCAGGTGATCTGCTTGCCTTGACCTCCCAAAGTGCTGGGATCACAAGCGTGAGCCACCGCACCCAGCCTAAACAAGTCTTAAAAAATATTCCCAGCAATATGGGGACTTTAATTCCTTAAATAGGAAAGGTTAGAGGCAGACTAGATTGGAAAACTTAAGTGTAGAGAGGCTATAAAAAGTAAAGTCTTAAAAATAGGATTAGGCCCCAGAGTGTAGTGGAGAGACCTCTGGGCTAAGATCAGGCACGCTGGGCTACAGGGCTTCTCAGACTGGTTATGAAAGTTGGCCTGCTTCACAGGCTCTCCAGCAACCACTTACTACACTGCAAAGGAGGGGTTTGGCAGAACAGTGATTTCCAGACTACTACTCCTCCCCCTTCTCCCTCTCCCCCTTCTTCCTCCTCTTCCTCTTCCTCCCACTCCTCCCTCTTCCTCCTCCTCTTTCCTCCTCCTTCCTCCTTCTCCCCCTCCTCCCTCTTCCTCCTTGCTCCTCCCTCTTCCTCCTCCTTCCTCCTCCTTCCTTTTCCTCCTCTTCCTCCTTTCTTCTCCTCCTCCTCCCTCCTCCTCTCTCTTCTTCCTTCTTCTTCTTCCTCCTCCTTCCTCCTCCTCCCTCTTCCCCGTCCTCTGTCTTCTTCCTTCTCCCTCTTTCTTTGCCTCCCTCTTCCTTCTTCTCCTCGTCCCTCCTCCTTCCTCTTCTTCCTCTTCCTCTTCTTCCTCTTTTTCTTCCTGTCTCAGATTGTGGTCAGAAGTCAGGTGACCTGGATTTCTGCCTGGCCAGCACTGCGAATTAGGATCCACATAATTTTGGGGGGCACTACAGTCCTGCAGGACCCAGGGAGCATTGGACACACTGGAGTGAATGCAGATGGTGGACACTTTCGGGCTGTGCATCGGGTGGCTCTGAGCCTGGCGTGGTTATTAATCCTTAGGTTTTTCTCTCTAAAAAAAGGGCAATGACATTATCCTTATCAGCCTCCCAAGCTGATTACAAGGCTCCAAAGCTAGGCTGGAAGGAAAGGTGCTTTGGCCTCAAGGGCCCACACCACGGTATTCTCACAGTCTAACTTATTTCCTTTTCCCTAGACACCTCTTTCATGAGAAGGAAGAGAGGAGGGAAGATGCTCTGTGGTGCTGCCAGTAATGCTGACCAGTCATGGTGCCGTTACCTCCTCGGCTGTCTCTGCACTCTGCTCCCAACTGAGGTTTCCGCTGCAGTGTAACTGAGCGCTCCAGGTACCACCGAGGGCTGTCAGGATGAGCTGTCCTTCCATCCCAGGCTGTCACTGCCAGGTAAACATGCATCCCTGCAAATGGACGTGCTGTGTAAGAAAAATGATTGCTGGCCAGGTGTGGTGGCTGATGCCTGTAATCCCAGGACTTTAGGAGGCTGAGGCAGGAGGATCACTTGAGCCCAGGAGTTCGAGATCAGCCTGGACAACATGGTGAGACCCCATCTCTGTAAGAAATAAACAATGACAACAAGAATTAGCTGGGCATGGTGGTGAGCACCTGTAGTCCCAGCTACTAAGGAAGTTAAGGTGAGAGGATCACTTGAGTCCAGGAAGTTGAAGTTGAAGCTGCAATGATCTATGATTGCACCACTGCACTCCAGTTTGGGCAACAGAGAAAGACCCTGTTAAAAAAAAAAAAAAGATAATGAAAAATGTTTGGTAGGTCTGGGTAGAGAGCCTCTGGTCCTAGAATTGGGTTGACACAGAGACAAGTTGCCCTCTGATTTACCCTGCTGTGCAAGTGCCTACCTCGTCTGCATGGCTTTCTGAGATATCAACTGTGTGGTCTTCTCTCTGCTGCTGGGGAAGGCTGACTGAGCCAACACTAAATTATTCTGAGCTAGACTGTTTTGTCAGCTACCAGCAATTACCCTTCTACTTTCCTTACACTTCCCAACCTCAAATATCCCAGTCAGTCATCCACCGACAGAGAGGAAGAATACACAAAATGACCGAGGAGCTGGGGGAGGAAAGGGTTGGGGTGGTGAGCATGTAGGGCTGGCTGTCATCAAGGCATTTCTCGCCATCTGCTATTTCACTTCAGAGACCGAAGCTCAGTTGGTGGGGTAAGACTGGAAATATGATTTTTAGCAATGTGTTCATTTAAATAGAACCCCACTATAAAAACAATTTGGAGGATTATGACTCGTTTTTAAATGAGAACTAGTTTTAATGGAATTTTTTTATGAGCATTCCAATCATGACTAAAATCCACATCATGATCGGAATCTGTCCGAATACTGCATGTGCTTTGTGAGTTGTACTCTAACCATTAGAAAACCATGCGTATTAAGTGTGATGCCCTGCACTGAAAGTCGTGGTTTTCTTTCATGGGGAAGCAGAGTGTATTCTTAGAACTGTTATAATGGGGTTTATTTCTTGAAACAGTTCAATAAGTGTTTATTAAATGCCTACTGTGTACAAGTGTTGGAGATTCTGTTGCAAGTAAGATAAAGTCCTGTTTTCAAGGAGTTTGCAGTTTAGTGTGTACATTAGGCTGCTCTGGCTGCCGTAACAAAATACCATGGACTTGGTGACTCAGACAACAGAAATGTATTTTCTGACAGTTCTGCAGGCCAGAAGTCCAATATTGAGGCGTTGGCAGGGCTGGTATGGTGAGGGCTCTCTTCCTGGTTTGCAGATGGCTGCCTTTTATTTCTGTCCTTACCTGGCTTTTCCTCTGTGCCCTCACAGAGAGAAATCTCTTATGTCTCTTCTTCTTCTTACAAGGACACCACTCCTATTGGATTACGGCCCCACTCTTAGAAACTTATTTAGCCATAATTACCTCCCTAAAGGCCCTATCACCGAATACAGTCACATTGAGGATTAAGGCTTCAATATATAAATTTTGGAAGGGAACACAATTCCATCCACAACAATCAAGAAGCTATAATTTTAACTCTGAGGCCAGACACAGTGGCTCTCACCTGTAATCCCAGCACTTTGGGAGGCCAAAGCAGATAGATTGCTTGAGGTCAGGAGTTTGAGATCAGACTGGGCAACACTACAAAAAATTAAAAACAAAATTAGCCAGGTGTGGTGGCACATGCCTGTTGTCTTGGCTACACAGGAGACTAAGAGGGGAGAATTGCTTGAGCCCAGGAGTTTGAAGCTGTAATGAGCTATGAATGCACCACTGTACTCTAGCCTGGTCAACAGAGTGAGACTTTCTCTAAAAAATATATTTTTTTTTAATTAAAAAATTTTTAACTCTGCTTTGTTACAAGGAGAGTATAGGGTTAGGGTTAGGGTTTGTTACATCTTGGCTATGAACATAGCGAGGCCCCATCTCTAAAAAAATAAAAAGAAAAATTAGCCAGGTATGGTGGTATGTACCTGCAGACCCAGTGATTGGGAGGCTGAGGCAGGAGTGTTACCTGAGCCCAGGAGTTCAACCTGCAGTAAGTTATGACCACACGACTGCACTCTAGCCTGGGCAACAGAGCAAGACCTTATCTCTAAAAAAATACAAAAAATTTCAAAAGAAGATACTATCTGAAACGCCTTTCCCAGCTGACTTTTGTAAATTTACTTGGAAATTTTTGGAGAAAGGAAGAAAAGTTGAATACAGAAGTAGAAACTGGTGTTGTAAAAGGAAAAAGTAGGACAGGTCACTTGGGAGGATGGGTTAGTGGTGGAAATGGAGCATGCTTTTCATCTAGGATGAGCGAGTTAGATGACGGAAAAGAGGAGGCGACCTGGGGTCACTGAGGGCTCTCTCCACACAGCAAGAAGCTGCAGCTAGAGGACGTGGTCGATGAGAAACCCCACGGCCTGGACTGGAGGCAGAAAGACGTTCTTGTCAATATTCTCAAAAACTCAGATTAGGTCCTGATTTTACATTTCTAGTCTTTGGTTTAGGTTTGTAATTAAAAGATGAAGGCACTTGGCCTCCTTGCATAAGCAACTTCGGTTTTGCCATGGCCGTCAACCTGTGTTGGCCAGCACGGGAGCCCGAGTCACACGAGGCTCCTGAGCATAGGGAGCTGGGCTCATTGGAAGCAAGGTGCCCTGCAAGGGTGAAATACCCGCTGCACCTGGGGGACTGCTAAGTATACATCAGTGTAGAAAAGAACATATTTGCTGTGTTGGTGATATGTTGAAATAATATTTTAAACACATTAAGCTAAATACAGTAGGTTATTAAAATGGATTTTGCTGGTTTCCTTTTACTTGCTTTAATGTGGCTCCTACTTCACTTACACAGGCGGCCCACCTGTTGTGCTTCTGTTGGACAGCACGGCCCAGGTCCTTCTTACCCTGACTTTTGTGTACTCTGAGTTACTTTCCTTCCCGCTCTCCACACCAGCAGCAGCAGGAACCACAGGGCACCCACCCCGATGTGCGTGCTGGCCACTGTATCGCCGCCCACCGTCCTTGCTGTGGCCACTTCAGACCCGGGGCTGCTCTCCCAAATTCCCTGATGATTTGATTACAGCCATTTTTTCCACCGATATTTCTGGTCTCCAACACTATTTCTCTGCGATTTCAGCATCTGTGGATGATTCTTCCAGCCCTGTGTCTCCAGGTTCTTGTCCTCCTCAAATGATCTTGTCCTCCACCCTCCCTCAGCTCTTCTTTTCCACGGTCATGCTGTCCACTTAACACAGGTAACCCTAAAACTACACTGCCCCAAGCTCAGTTTCAAGCATCGTGTTCCTCAGTCCCCACCTCCTACGTCCCCTTCAGTGCCTTTAGTATGGGAACTTCAATGATTCCCTGACACCACTGGGACCTCTGATGTGTTGCTGTTTCCTGATCACGTCTGTTACCTCCCTCGTACCCTCACTTTTCTCCAAATCCCGTTAGGCTCCACATCCCACCATCGTGGCCCTTGGCTTCCACATGCTTCGCTTCCTTTGCCCCCAGCTCTGCTTCGTACCCTCCTGGTAACCCCCAGCCCTGGTAGAATCCAGCCCTCCCCTTTCTCCGTGCCGGCCCCTGGACAGCTGAACCGAGCTGGGGAGCAGCACAGGCGAGGCTGAATGGTCTCTCCCGGGTTCCCGAGCACCAGCCTGGGCGGGCTCTAGGTTAGCCTGGCTGGAGATCCTGCACTTCCTGTATGTCCCTAGCCCTTTCTTTCACTCATTTATTTCACATCTTGCCGTCTTTCCTTAAACCCTTAACATCTCCTCACTCTTCGCTGATGACCTTGCTCCTTACGTTGCTGATAGAGAGATACTGTGCCTTCAGAAGACAGCTTCTCACCTTGGGCACTCCCACAGCCACCTCTACCCACCTCACCGTATGTGCAGCCACACACGCTGCCTTCCCCTTCCCCAGGCAGAAATGATGCTCTGGCAAAGGCCGTGGCTCCACCCAGCTCTAGAACCCTGCTTCCCGACTCCTCAACTGTTTGCTTTTTACCGGATAATTCTTATCCGTTTATCACCCCTCTCTTAACCCCACAGCCCCCAAGAGGGTTGTCTACACTCGCTATCTCCATCTCCTCTCCTCCCATTCTCTCTAAACAACTTGCATCAGGCATTCATCTTGTCTGGTCTACTGAAACTGCTCTGACCAAGGTCAGCAATGGCTCCACTCCCATGGTCAATATCAAGTTCCAGGTCTCAGCCCACTTGAACTTGCAGCAGAATTTAGCCCAGTTGTTTACACTTTCTTCTCCTGGAGCTTGTTCTTACCCGGCCTCTTGGGTGCCCTTTTCCCCCGGCTGTCCTCCTGTCTCTCTGTCAGGCCCTCCTCGGTTTTCTTGCCTTCTTCCTCATCTCTTCAGCCTCTCATTTTGAAATGCTTGAGGCCCAGTCTTTGAACCTCTTCTCCTTTCTAATTGCCCATATTTCGCAGACACTCATATCTTGGCTTGACTTGTGGCTTCAAATTCCACCTGTTTGCATACAACACCCGCATTCGCATCCCCAGGCCACAACTGTCCCCGGCTCCTGCCGCTCCTCTGGACATGGCCCTGGCTGCCTCGCAGGCTTCTCAAACCCCATAGCCCCTGCTAACCCGCTGCACCCGCACCTGTCCGTTAAGCAAATGGCTAAACACGTGTTCTCTCTTTCTACCACAACACATATGTCTTCCGTCAGTGAATCAAATCAAAGACCTCGCACCAGATATGACTGCCTCTGCCACAACCTGGTCCATGCTAACATCCTCCCTGTGTCCAGAACAGTGCCTTCACCTCCCACCGGGCCTCCTCCTTCCTGCCATGGCCCCTAGAGTGTCACCTGAACACAGAGGCCACGCCAAGGCTGTTCACGCCTCAGTCCCCTCAAGTTAACCACATTCCTCCTCTCAGACCCCTCAGAACCTCCTGTGGTTCACTGTCTCACTGGGAGTAAAAGCAACAGCCTGCAAAGCCCTTTGGCACCTCACCACCAAAGACCCCTGCCCTCAGCACCTGACTGTTCTCACTAGGCTGTCCCAGCCTCGCTGCGGTTCTTCACCCCTGGCTGGCTCCTGCTTCTGGAACTTTGAACTTGTTGTTCCCTTTGCCTGGAATACTTTTCCCCCGAGAACCTGCAGGCCTACGTTGCCTACTTCCTTCGTGTCTTTGCCCAAGTGTGACCTCACTAGTGAGACCGTTCCCATCACTCTATGGACGCGGGAACCTCAGTCTCTGCCACTCTCTGCCTTTAATGCTGCTTTCCTTTTATCCTTGCACTTTTTATTCTCTGACATCAGCTTGTTTGTTGTTGCTGTTATTGTTTTTGCTGATAATATAGACTCCACCAGCTCGGCACTTTACTTCCTGCCGTGCCCCAGAGCCTAGAACAGTGCCTGGCGCGGGGGGTAAATGTGTGGAGGGAGAATTTGGGGAACATGGTGGTTTTACTTGCAAATGTCTCACAAGGCCTGGCCTCTACGGCAGGTCTTTGGCTAGCCATGACATGGCATGTGAGCTCTCATCCTGTGTGGGTTCCCGTCGGGGACCCTGTCTTCTAACTATGAAGTAAAAGGAGGCTCTCCTCCAGTGAAAGCAATTTCCTGCATCATACTAGAACAGCTCAGCAAAGTGTCAGTGGGAGAGGCGTGATCCGGACACGGAAGCAGGGGCCTCCTGGGTGCCTGGATCACATTGCTGGAAGGAAACACCCATTTCACCAACACAAAGGCCACCTGCTGGCCCAGGATCCAGGCCCGGCTGTACTGAGGTCAGTCCCAGGGTCCTGCACGTGCTGGGGCTCTGCTGACTCAGTTCTGGAAACATCTAATGTCACCAGAGCCATTCACGTGCCACAAAATGACACATTTATGTATTATTCTGCTTCAGGTGAGCTCATGAGGAAAAGGCAGATATCTACTCATTCAAAATACTCTTTTGATCGACTTCCTAAGGACAAAGTTCAGAAAGCAAAAAACAATGTTTTACTCATGCCTATACGCATGCATGCACACCAACTAGGAAAAATATATTTTTTGAGACAGGGTCTGCTCTGTCACCCAGGCTGGAGTACAGAGACGTGATCATGGCTCACTGCAGCCTCAACTTCCCAGGCTCAAGCGGTCCTCCAACTTCAGCCTCTCAAGCAGCTGGGACTACAGGCATACGCCACCATGTCTGGCTGATTTTTATATTTTTTGTGTAGACAGGGTATGCCATGTTGCCCAGGCTGGTTCTCAAACTCCTGGGCTCAGGCAATCCCTGTGCCTTGGCTTTCCAAAGTGTTGGGACTGCAGGCATAAGCCATGGTGTCCAGCCTAAAAATCACTTTTAAAAGCCAAAGACAAGTTAGATTTGAAACAAGGGAAATGATCTCTGTTGACAGCCTCCTTTTCCTTCCCAGTGGTGGGGTGTTTTGTTATAGCAAGAGGGCAGAGCTGTGCATATATTCATTTTGTAATTGGTAAAGTGTGGGGGAAAGTTTCTGAGAATCTTTACTTTGCAGCCTCAAAAGCTGAGCATTTTTCCTGGTTCGGGTGAGCGCTTTGCCTGGCATCTGGCGATGGTGTTTCCTGCACCATTTGGCCTGTGGTCTGTGGGGATGAACATACATCTTGTTAGCGTTCTCCATCCACTCCACACAGCGTTGGCTTGCCTGGCTTACATAGTCTGCGCAGGTGCCCAGCTTTGTTACAGATACTGAAGCTGTGTATTTTATAATACATGCCTTTCCATTGTTCACACTTTAAGCAATATTGGTACAGTATTAAACCCATTGTCCCAGGCACTCCCTCTCCTTACCCACTGCTTATGGCGCTTCATGTATTAAAGAATGGCAGCACTGCCCAAACGTGCATTTTGTCATCAAGTCTCAATGCAGTCAACCTGGTCCCTTCAGCAAATGAATGGAGGCACAGAAGATGATTTTCAAAATGCCATTAGGAGAGCTTGAGCCAGAACTGGAAATGGATCCTCCACGGGGGATTCCACCACTCTTGCCTGGCCACAAGCAGACAATAATACAGAATGAATAGCTATCACTGGGGATCAAAAAGTGTCATTCAATCAGTTCTCTCTCTTATCAGGTCTAAGTTATCTTTCTTATCAGGTCCTAAAGGTCTAATATTATCATTGTGGTAAAGATAATTGTACATTCTGTTAAACTTTTTTTTTTTAATTACATGAAGATGATGATTTATAGCTGAATTTCTCCCTTTTATTCCAATCCAACAATTTTCATGGCTTTTTGTGTTTGTTTTTGTTTTGGACATATTTATAGAAAATTACCTGAAGAGGTCCAGCCTGAGGCCTCCTCATGGATGGGTCAAACGTGACATCATTTGTTGTTGAGGAACCTACGAACTTCTCCACCAGCGGGAATGCCTCAGCCGGGAATACGCATCGGCAAATCCCCATTGTGCATTGGGTCATCATGAGCATCTCCCCAGTGGGGTTTGTTGAGAATGGAATTCTCCTCTGGTTCCTGTGCTTCCGGATGAGAAGAAATCCCTTCACTGTCTACATCACCCACTTGTCTATCGCGGACATCTCCCTGCTCTTCTGTATTTTCATCCTGTCTATTGACTATGCTTTAGATCATGAGCTTTCTTCTGGCCATTACTACACAATTGTCACATTATCGGTGACTTTTCTTTTTGGCTACAACACGGGCCTCTATCTGCTGACGGCCATTAGTGTGGAGAGGTGCCTGTCAGTCCTTTACCCCATCTGGTACCGATGCCACCGCCCCAAGTACCAGTCAGCATTGGTCTGTGCCCTTCTGTGGGCTCTTTCTTGCTTGGTGACCACCATGGAGTATGTCATGTGCATCGACAGAGAAGAAGAGAGCCACTCTCGAAGTGATTGCCGGGCGGTCATCATCTTTATAGCCGTCCTGAGCTTCCTGGTCTTCACGCCCCTCATGCTGGTGTCCAGCACCATCTTGGTCGTGAAGATCCGGAAGAACACCTGGGCTTCCCATTCCTCCAAGCTGTACATTGTCATCATGGTCACCATCATTATATTCCTCATCTTCGCCATGCCCATGAGACTCCTTTACCTGCTGTACTATGAGTATTGGTCCACCTTTGGGAATCTCCACCACATTTCCCTGCTCTTCTCCACCATCAACAGTAGTGCCAACCCTTTCATTTACTTCTTTGTGGGAAGCAGTAAGAAGAAGCGATTCAAGGAGTCCTTAAAAGTTGTTCTGACGAGGGCTTTCAAAGATGAAATGCAACCCAGGCGCCAGGAAGACAACTGTAATACTGTCACAGTTGAGACCACCGTCTAAGAACTGTGAGGGAAGTTGTGGATAAAAATGGTAAAACAGATCATTTTCATTTTGTGCTTGGACTATAACTTAAGTATCTCCTAAATGTGATACAGAAGAACATCTCATCCCATAGACATGAGATACTAATTAATGATGAAATTGAACTCTTGTACTGTATCTTCTGGAAATGACCTGTCATTTCTGTTCTTAACAGAGACTCTTTCTATTTCTTTCAGCTCTTTTGGCAGCATTTTACCATGAACCACAAAAATGACTTTAGCAGGAAGATTTGCAGATGTGTACAGGAGAAGGTAACAAAACTGTTGTTGGAACTTGAGGAGGCAGCTCCAAGTAGCAGGAAGTACGAAGGTTGCTTTCTGTGTGACCTCAGGCAAGTCGTTAAACCTCTCAGAGCCTCATTTCCTCACTCATAAAATGGTCACAGCAATAGTCCATACCTCCTGGGTCTGCTGTGAGGATGAAATGAGAAGATGACGCTTGCAAAGCACCTGGCACATTGTGGATGTTCATTAAACATCAGTCTCTCCTCACTCCCTTCAATGGTAGACAAAATGTAAATTTTTGTTTTGTAAAGCACACACACACACATACACACGGCTCTGCCATGTACAGAAGTTATGATGTGTTTTTACATGTTGAATGTAAATTTACAACGATCTTCTTTTTGCTTGCGGCATGAAAGCTTTTCACGGCATAACACCTCTATTGAAAAACATCGCAGATGTTATGCTCTAACTAGCCACGTGCTAGTGCATCATTTCAGGTTGTGAAGAAATACATTTGGCCACCAGTCGAGGAGTTTCTCATGGCTTCCCTTCCCTCTGTGGGAATATTAGATGAAATGAAAGTCTGTGTTTTGAAATCCTTTGATTGCATATAAATTTTTACGAATGGAGTTGAATGTATGAGTTCCTGGGGGTGACTGTGGCCCTCCTCCACACGAAGCAATAGGTTATTTATAGCAAGAGTTCTCACCTGCAGCCAAGTGTGGGTCTCGGCACCTCTCTGCCTCCTCTCCTCCTAAGGCATTTTTTTTTTTTTTTTTTTGCATCATACCTGGAAGGAGGCTCAGTGACAAGGGTTAATGAGAATGCGGTCACATCCTGGAGGACTCTGACATTTTTGCTCATGACAGATTCTTGCACGACTTCCTCAGCATCTTTACTCAGCACTCCGGGTGGGATCTGCCTCTTGCCTGCTGTGAGTTGCCCTCCAGACACCGCACGTCCTGGGTTTTAGCTGTGAAGCCCGTCTCGGCCTATGACTGCATAGCTATGTTTATTTCCTTCTGTCCCTTCTAGGAGTTCCGCAAAAATGACAATGTGTCACATGATTCTACACGTTGTAAAATGTTAAAGCCCATAGAAACAAGCCTGTTAGTATTTGTTTTAACTGTTTGCTCTTTAAAAGGTCAGAGAGGCGGTGATGAAATCGTTCTCTGTTGCTGCTGGTCCTTCCCCATCCTCTTCCTTTCTCAAAAGAAATGACGGGGGCAGCTTCGCTGGGGGAGATGAGTCTCTCCCCTCAAGCCAGGACCCCACTGCCAGCCAAGCTTGGATGCAGGAGGCTTTTCAGTGGGTGATGACATCTGATTCAGAAACAAGGCAGCTTGCTTTCAGAAGCCCAGATGGGGTGTGGAGCAATGACATTTAGAATGATCTTGTTTTTGGTTGAAAATGGAGTATCTTCCTTGGGAAGGAACAGAATATGGAGATCAGAGTGACTCCCCTCTGTTTCCTGTCCTCTCCTGTGTGTGCTGCGTGCTGGGCTTTGGGATAAGGAAAGGGGCCAACCCCATCTCATCTCAAAGGGGATCTTAGTCTCAAAGAGGACCCTAAAGACTATCAGCCACAAGGAATTTCTACCAAAGGAAAATACGGTGAACCAATAGGAAGCCCCTAGTTACTGTTTTTCTGCAGATAAAGTGGGGAAATCAAATGTGACAATGAATACAAAAATTTTCCTAACCTTTTAAAATGATGCCTTACCAAGAGGTAGGATTCAGAGTTTAACAGGGTTATAAAGACTAATTTCTTTCTCTCTTCCTCTCAACCCATTCCCAAAGTGAACTGTAAAGGTAAAACTAAAACAAGAAGATTTAAGTAAATTTGCAAATGTGTAGAGAATATGAAATAATTTGTACCCTTTAGGCATTTAGACAATTTGCCTAAGTCATTTTAGGTTACTAGGTGCCACTTCTGAGAATTCCCCGGGTCTGGGAGGAGATTGTTTTGATAATGCCTGCCCTAACTGCAGGGCAAGGGTTTGTAGCATTCCTACTATAAATATGCATGGACAGCCTTCTCTGCAGAACACCCTAATGTGGGCATGGCCAAGACGGGGAAGTGGAAACCCCTGCTGTGTGTCCTAGGAGAGAGACAACGCATAACTACAACGCCAGGCTGCACACAGTTTGTTAGGCAAGTGTTAGGAAAAAAAATTGTGTGGCAGAGGTCACTGCAGTAGGGGCTCTTCCTGCCACCCCCACACTGCACACACCCTCTCCTGTTCCCTCCCCTGCCCACTGGGGTGGGGATATACTTGCACTCATCGTGCTATGTATTGATTTGCTTATTTGCTCATTCTCTGTCTCTTCACGCTAGACTATAAGCTCCTTACGGGCAGGGACATAGCTTTGCTCACTGCTGTAGCCCCAGCTTATTTGCTGTGGTGGTCGAATCCACTGCACCCCTCTCTTGGCTGTTTCCCTTGCACATATAAATAGGCTCAAATTGTTTCCACCTGACCAGAGCCATTCCTTGCCCCATAGTCCTTTTCAGCTTTTATCTCCCCTCCCTCCCTCCCTTCCAAACCACCTTCTAGAAAGGCTCTTCCACACTCACTGTCCTGACTTGCCACAATTTACCCCTCAACATCCTGCCAGTTGTCTTGCAGCCTGACCGTCATAGAGAGGTTGGTACAGCTAGGAAGGTGAGTAACTTCCATGGTGCTAAATCTGATGGGCTGTTTTCTACCTATGCTTTTTGTGACATTTAGTACCCACAATCTTCCCGAAATGATCTCTTTTCTTGGATTGCAGTTTGCTACTTTTTCTCTCCAGCTCCCTTTTTGAATCCTATCTTCCTGATTGAAATCCTCTCACTTCTTTCCTCCCTCTTCTACTTCTCCTCCCTTAAATGGCCACATTTTCCATAATTCAGTGGCTGGACCTCTGCTGTCCTCTTCCTGAGAACTCTCCCTGGATCTGGACTGATAACCACCTGCTTATTAATGAACCTCACATTGACATTTGCTGACCAGAATTCTTTGCTGGGCTCCAGTCCTGTGTGTCTGTTAGATATAATGAACTCCAAGTTTCTCTTCAAAGAATCAGTACGTCAGTATGTTCAGCTTTCTTATTCAGTTCTCCATTTTAAAGTTTAACTTCCTGGTCCTCTGTGCCCCCTTGCCTCTAGTTTCAGTAAACAACTTTCCTGCTAATCAGTAGTTCACATCTGTTCCCCTGGTGACCTGGTCTGACTTGCTCCTAACTGTTCTTCCCACCAAACTACCCGCCCTGCCACTCTGGCTTGTACCCCTGCTCTCTTTAAAATAGCCAATCAGAATTAGTTTAGACTGTGTGATCCAACCCTAGCCAATAGGGGAATGACACAGCAGTAGGGGCTACCTGCATCAGGAATAAGAACCCCATTCCCCTCCCTTGTCCAGGTGTGCTCTCACCATTGCTCCATCTATGAGACACACCCTTCTAGAGAAGTAAATTGCCTTGCTGAGAAAATTAATATTTGACTGCTACTTCTTTTGAGGCCCTGAAAATTTACATATAGCATGTCCAACCATCTAATGGACTTTTTGATCCAATGTCTTATAGGTGCTTGTAACCTATTCATTTCCCCACCATGCCCCATTCTTTTTTTTTTTTTTTTTT